GGAATTTCTGTTTTGAAAAAATGTACCCGCGTTAGCTACTAGTTCCTATAATTTATCTTCTGAGTAATTGGAATTTATTTTCGGGCTTCGTAAGTATGACCATATTTCGCAATATAGATCTAAGCTAAATTGGCTTACAATCCGTCAGAGGCGCAATTCCAGAATATTGCTTGTTCTTTTTTCCATTTTAAATGACCCATCTTCGCCTTCTTATCTTAAGAGTAAATTTCACTATCTCTCCTCATCTCATGATAGGGTCCTACGTTCTTCTTCTAACAACAAAATCTGTATTCCTGTTCACTTCACCGAGTTCTATGGCAACTCCTTCACAGTTCAGGCTACACGCCTTTGGAACTCCTTGCCCGATGACATCAGAAAAACATCCAACAAGTATGTTTTTAAAAAATTGGTCCGTAACCATCTATTGAAGACAAAGCATTTTACTTGATTCATCCATTTGATATGTATTGCTAAACAGACGCATATATTCATAGGTATTTGTATGTACTAATTATATATTATGTATTTAAATATGTATTTAAATATGTATATTTGTATGTATATTTGTATGTATATTTGTATGTATATATTTGTATATATGTTTGTATACGTCATTTAAGTATGTATAGTTTATTTATTAGTAAATTGTATGTATTATGTAGTTAATTATTATTTTGTGTACTGTTATTTTATTCTATATTGTCGCACCTACGTCAAATTCTCACCACTCCATGGGTTGACTGGTAGAGAATGCCTCAAGGCATTAAGTCCGCCCTTTGTATTCTTTTGTTTTAAGGAATGCAATAAAGAATAAATAAATAAATAAATAAAAAAAAATAAATCGCTTTCACTATCGCTATGGCACTCTATAATAAAGGGTTCATTTAAATACGCGTCTTTTCGTCTGTATTCATTTTCAATTTCTTTTACATGATTACAAATGTTTTTCCACTGCCCCGGTGTAATTTTATGAAATGAATCTTCAATTAATTGGGACATTAGAACATTAGCAACACAAACTACAAAGCTAGGTACTTTAGATGAATTGCAGTAAATTCACAAGTACATTATTTGGTGATTTTAATTTTCCATATCTGGTGGCAATACAAACCTGTCGCGGCAGCAACGCGTTCATACAGCTTTTCAAAAGGTATAGTTGGGACTTGTACACGTTTTTCTTTTTTCATAAAAGATCAAACTTTTAGGATAATCTATCGCGCATCACTTTTACCCTTTGTTTTTGAAAAGTGTAAATAAAATGACCTTTAGGCACTTAAAGTGCCTAAAGGTCATTTTATTTACGCTTTTCAAAAACACTCACCTAATAGCTCAGAATAAATAATAGCTGACAGCGAAATGCCATTTACAAAATGGTGGATTTAGTTCCAATTTTGTCCACCTGAACAGATAAGTTGGTAGCACTATACAATGTAATATTTGAAACTATTATAATATATTATAACAGTTTAAAATAACAGTTAGAAAAATATATTACAACATCTTAACGAATTAGGAAAATATAACAGTTTTGCCCACTTTTAGTTAACAGTGTATTCCCTCCTTGCGGTGAAAGTCCATAGACAACATTATCTATGGATTAATCTACAATAGACGTAGACGGAAGTATTTCATAAGTATCAATATAAGGGTGTTTTCTGATAGACACATAATGATTTATTGCCTGACGACTCAGTTACACGACGCGGGCACTATTTTTTTAATATTATTATATGAATACTATTATTACCATTATAGTGCTACTTATTAGTTTGCGATATAGATCTATGTTTGACATTTGAAATCTATTTTTTATTATTTACTCTATATCCTACAGTGTCACCAAAGTTAGTAAATATCTACTTTTTTAGTAGATTTAGGACCGCATACAATATATCTTGGTAGTGGAAAATTAATAGTATTTTTTGGTAAATTTAATTGTTTTGGTAGTAGTTTCGGTTCGTATATCTGTTTATTACAGTAATAGACGTAAGCGGCCTTCAGTTGTAAACTTCAGGGCGTAGGAAATAACACGCGTCACTCTGAAGCGTGATCCAAAGTGTATGTGTAAAAGCAATAAACGCACAATCAGATATGGTACTTCGTCACGCACACACGATGTTGCTCCTATACTTCGCCCATGTCATGGAGAACGCATACTTGAATATAGTGCCAGCTTAGAGCGTTAAGGCCATAACCGACTTCCACCGATTGCATCCTTGCCCGTGGAAATGAAGATATAACTTGGGATCCCTCACTTCGTAGGCTGGTTTACTATCAATTAAGCCACGGAGAGTTCACTCTCAGGGTGAGGATTACTATCGATTAAGAGATAAAGAAGAAAAGAAATTTACATTAATACTAATAATACGTTAATTATGCTCCTGGGATTCTTATCATATCTTCTTGCCAAGATACACACTTTTGGCTAGAAAACCAGATACAGCAACTGCGATGGCTGTTCAAGCTTTGATCATGCGAATAAGAATATAAGAATATATTATAAAAGTATAACCCTGCCCCCCTACGCAAAACACCGTTGAAACCTCTTTTTAGGTGCAGCTTGGTGTGCGTATCACATTCCCAGCGTTTGATGGCCATCATGCTCAACTGGAAGGCCTTTTTGCGTGAAGTTGAAGCGTTCGCCAAACCAGCTAATGGAGAGAAGAGATTGTGTTTGGTGCTAAGTTACGTTTTTTAAGAAAACTTGACGAATTAAGGAAAAGTGATAACAAACCTCCACGTATTTACATTTTCATAATATACACATCTACATGCCAGTGGTGAGTAACTATGCCTGCCATAAGGCCCGAAGTGCTACAAAGAGTTTAACAGGCGGCATCCTGTTTCTCCATTACATTGCACCGCCGGCAGCAAGTGTTTAACATTATTATGGGTAGGTACTTTTTGTTATGTGTGTTATGGTTTGTTATTTATATGCAAATAATAATCTGATGTTCATGAAAAAGTCGGTACTTAAATAATGAGCCAAGTGCTCGGTATCATTACATATATTTTATCAGAATTATGTTTATCAAAATACAAACAGTTATTTTTTCCATACAATCAAGTGAATATACATTATGATTCAAATATGTTTTATAATATATTCCTTTTAAAATGCGTTTAACGTTTTAGTAGATATTTGATAGAAAATGGTTTTAAGTTATAAGAACTTGATTGATTTTTTCTGTCCTGCTTAGTAGATTTTTTTAATAAAATTTGGTCACGACAGGTAGGGAGTATTAATTGTATTCTGTGATCACGACGAACGACGATCGTCTATAAATCTATAATCTATGGTTAGTAGTCCTTCTAGCAGTGTGACCATATGTGGCAGGTTCCTGCCATTTTGGCTGGATTGGCCTCTTATTTTAGCCTCTGGCATGATCGGTTGACGTTTTATTAAACCTAGCAGTATTTGGCAGTATAGGGGTATTAAAAATATATTTCATTATGGCAATTTAAAATGACAAAAATGATAACCCTAGAGTTTTGGCGGGAAATTGACCGGCGGCGGTTTGCTGCTCCTGTATTATTGTTTAAATAATGGTTTGAAGTGGACTTTGATATGTAAAAGTGTTGCGATTTTGTGTATTAAGTGTCTACGCATGTGAACTATTAGTGGAAACAGTGAAACAAGTGCTCTGATGGTGATGGATTCTCAAGATAAGCTGTTTGTTTGCATAGGCACCTTTAGATACCTTCGCCAACTATCAGCTGTCTGCTGGATCAAGTTGCCGCCAAAATCTCCCAAGAACTGCACAATGTGACGCATCAACATATTGTGAAGCAGTATACTATGAAGGAGTGGGGAAATTACAATAAACCGAATAAAAATACTTAAGACTTGGCCTAAAGGTCTAGATACCAGGCCATAAACTCCAAAAAAAAATGATAACCCTAGATACTTCGCCAGCATGTTGGGGATTTCCCTGTATTTCTAGATTTCTCGTATTATGCTTGTATCACATTCAATAAACAACTTTAAAAAAAATTGTGTATAACGTTGATAATCTTAACACGAGTTGGTTAATATTTCAATCAGTCATAAAAGAGACGTACTTTAGTATGGTATAGAATTTGATTTCATTATCACCATGAAATCTTGTTAATAATATTTCGTGGACGATAGTAATTATAGGTGGCGGTGATGAAGCGAAAATAAGAAAGGGTGTATAGAGCGAAGTGGAAGCAAGATCTTTTATTTTCATCATGGATCTCAAAAGCTAAAGATGATCCAGACTGTATACCTACTGTAACTGCAAATTGGCACCCCGGCTGTCCGCTTAAAGGAGCATGCCGCTACTAGTGAACATCAACAAAACATGAGTGGATTGAACATGCGAAAGAATATTCTCTAAAATAAATTTAATTATGACAAAAACACGAAATAGATTTATAAATTAACATTTAGCGTCTATCTTGTACGTTAAACAAGCATGGCGATTGAAAGATATGTTTAATTTTAATTTAAAAAATATAGCATTCATATGTGTATTTTGACGTTTCTTAGTGTAATACAATGGTAAATAAAGTTGGCAGTATTTAGGCATTTTTCATTACAGATTTTGGCAGGTTTTGGCAGGTTTTTAACCTTAGTATGGCAGGATCTGTATTGTAAAGATGGTCACACTGTCTTCTAGAGATAGAGAGAACTTGTGTTCTGTGGTCCTTCCCTGACTAGTATACATCATAGACTAATATATAATACTGGAGAGTATACAGTTATCTGTGGTCCTTCCACAACAGCCCGTGTGGGATGAGTTCATATCGGTTGATAGTGATAAAATATTAACATTGTTATTATTTTTAATAAGAACTAATACAAAATCATATATTATTTTTATTATTTATGCAAATTAAAAAGTAGTTTATCATAATCAAGTGAGCATTCCAAGATTTCTAACAATGTAAAAGTATTACTCGGTGAATTTGATAAGTACAATGTAATGAACAAGACAAACAAGGACATCGGTGTGTTAAATATTTTGTCATTTAAGATGACATCCTCTGATTCAACGAATGCATGTCTTGCCGTGCATTCGGCAATTAGCGGTCAGGATGGTCTTGCTAGTCCTGAGCTTGGAATGTCTGCAGCTGTGGCACCTCAAAACTTCATCATGCATGCGCCCCATGGCACTGCGAGTTGTGGTGACTCTTTATCGGACCCATATTCTCCGGAAATGCCTTCAGCTAAGGCGAGTGATCGAGAATCCCGAATCATAGCAGAAAAACATCGTCGAAGTCAGTATAAGGCGGAAATAGATCTTATAATGTCCCTCCTATCTGATATAATACCTACTCAGCGCAAAGTAGACAAAACGAGTGTCTTGCGACTTGCAGCTGATAAGTTACGAAATGAACATGTATTTGGTGACACTATAAAATGCCGTCATTTAGAAACATGGTCTTCGGGTGTAATGAAATATTTTGATCTGTTTGGAGGTTTTATGTTTGCCGTGACATGTCGAGGACGTATTTTTATTGTTTCGCCTAATATTCAAGAGAAGTTGGGTTACTGTCACATAGATTTATTGGGACAAGACATTTATAAATATGTACACAATGAAGACAAAGAAATACTGCGGTTTCATATTTATCCTCCAGAATTACAAACTGGGTGTGATGAAAGTCTGTTTAAACAGCACCATAATTTTCATATACGATTAATGAGGGCAGGTGCTAAATTAGATCCACCTAAATATGAAAGATGTCGTATAAATGGGATGTTGAGGCGATCTGATCGAGCAACTGCCAATGGGGTACAGGATGAACAAATAATTAGAAGACAAAGAGTGAGGCATAACCGCACATTTTCTTCTAGTGGTAATGATTTTGTATTCATTGGAATGGTTCATGTTCTGTCCAGTTCTATGCCAGCTCGTTTGTTATCACCTACAGCATATTCTGAGTACTGGACAAGACATTTGATTGATGGCCGTATAGTGCAATGTGATCAAAGTATATCATTGGCAGCTGGTTATATGACTGAAGAAGTCACTGGTACCTCAGCTTTTGTATTTATGCATAAAGAAGATGTCCGTTGGGTTATATGTGTATTGCGGCAAATGTATGATCAAAGTAGAGAGTTTGGTGAGTCATATTACAGACTGATGTCACGATCAGGTCACTTTATTTATATGAGGACTCGTGGTTTTCTTGAAATAGATAAAAACACTAAAAAAGTTCAAAGTTTTGTGTGTGTAAATAGTGTCATTGGAGAGGACTATGGTAAAAGGATGATGGATGAAATGAAAAGAAAATATTCTGTTATAGTTGATATGGAGAAACATAATGAACAAGCAACATGCATTGATGAAGCACCAGTAGAACACCCAAAGCATTTAGAAAGAATTGTGATGCATCTTGTGGAGCCCCCAGTAAGTGAGAGTATAGATGAGTTCAAACTAGTTGCACCGTCAAAAGAAAATATAATATCAGCTATTAAAAATAGTGAAAAGGTAGTTCAAGAAACAGGAGTTAGGTTTGATACTCGGAAAAGAAAGAAAAATTATTGTGATGATAACATGGAACATTTAAAAAGACACAGTTGACTTTACCATGTTGTAAACTGAAAACAATGTCTAATGAAGGAACTAAAATAGGCTGATTGGTAAATGTGTGCAAGTTCTGAAATATTCCATTTTATAAAAATGCTAATGAGGATATCTAAATTTTTCTGTGTTTATAATGTGATCTAATGAAACAGACAATTTATAATATAATCTTAATGTCATTATGAAATTTAATATATGTGCAATTCTGGGCACTTATGTGACATAGTGTTAATCCTTAGCACAAATGTGGGTCCTTTTTTAAGTCCAGTTTGCATTATTCAAATTTCTACAACACTTGCCAGGTAATTATTATTCTTTAACAAATATATGTGTTACTGATTGATACATGCTTAATGAGCACACAAATGTATATGCCAGGGAATGCAATGTAAGTCTGAATACTGTGGTAATTTTTTTAAATAGTAAGTTACATAAAATGGTCATAAAAGTATTTTTCTACCTTAGATTGTGTACAATTGACTCACATTATTACTGGCCGCTATAGGCTTGTTATTGGATAGTTATTTGGTTTAGGTCAGGTACACTTGATGACTATGGAATTCAAAATGTTGTTGATTGTGTACTTTTGTTTTTTTGTTTGTTAAATAAATATTTTCATTTTGAAATTTATTTATTATTGAATTACGTCCTTTAGAGAGCAAAAAAGTCCATGAGGTTTTGCAGATATCTTGACATAAAATCAGCAACAAATTTAGCTTAAGTAATTTATGAGAATTAATGTAACAAACGATAAATATGTAAGTACTTTTCTTTTTTCATTTAATATTTTGACTAAACTGAGTCTGTGGTTGGCTCTTAGCCAACAAAGAAGAACAATTTTAAGAATATTTACAACTAATTATTTAATAAATTCAAGAACAATGTTCATATCTATTTTGTATCCTTAAGGTTACAGTATATACAAAGCAATTTAAACTGGTCACAGTCATAATATAAAAGCATTGTAAATTTCAAGTTATGTAGACTGATTTACATATCTTATTATGCAGACAGACCATCTATTCAGTACCTAAATATCCATACTAACACCTAAGCAAAACTTACAGTTGAAATAATTGGGCCACTGACGATTTGAGTAAAAATGTTTAGATAGCAAAACAACAAACCACACATCTGGTGAACTTCGCTTGTTTTATGGTTCTGCTAATACATTATAATATTTAGATACATTGATAGTGCTCTGGCAATTGGGACAAAATCCATATAATAAATGAATAGCTGGTGAAGGGGAGCAGCATTACCTGTGTAAAGGTATTGGTTCTGCTTTCATAATGATGATGATGGTGATCATTGTAACAGAACTTAAATATTGATCACACAATAATTGTAACCGATTGGCTGTTTACACATACAATGAGTTTTAATTATAAAATCAATGAAGGCATAAACATGTATTGTAGCTATATTTATAAATGTGAAGTGTGAAGACTCCTTATGAAAGTTCCAAATATACATTTAAAATGTAGTGTACTTGCATGGTTGTTGTTCTTGAGTATTTTAATCCTGTTAGCATATTAAAATTATTTCAAATATAGACATCAATTATATTTGTATGTTCAAAATCAAAATGCCAAATTTGTTACGGACTTAAATAGTAATGGTGTGACTAAACGACAAAGATACCAACATGACATTGGTAGAATTCTTTTTAGAGTACACAGGAAACAAAGAGAGAAAGAAAAAAAATTCCTTGTTTATGTGATTACGGTACATTCAGAACATTATTGTTTTGAGTGTGGAAAAAAATTAAAAAATGTAGTTAAAGAGAGAATATGAATATTGTGCTAGTGATTGTATCACATATATTAAAGCATTAATTTATAACTTTTCTAAAAACCTATGACTTATAGAAGTTTTAAAATGCATATTAGTTGGTACTAGGGTTACCAAGGCCTGGAATTGAAAATCCTGTTGCAGGTGATTAAAATCTTGATTGTTGGTAAAAGTTGGAATTCAGCCCTTATCCTGGCAATAAAACTCAATAAATTTTATCTCAACTATGTTTTAGTCACTAGCAACAGCTTTCAAAAAGTTGGTTTCTCCACTTGTAAAATTGTTCAGAAGCAAAGTTTGAACGTTATTTTGTGTCAATAATATCTTCTGTTAAAATCCATGCGGAGTTGGCTCTTAAAAACTGGTCAAAACCAGATTTATCCAGTCAGATGGTAACCCTTTGTACTCCAGATCTCCTCGGGGCCAGTGTTTATTACGTGGATATGTTACAGTCAAAACTCATATCCGGTTAAAACCACTTTTGACTGCAAAAATGGTTTTGACTGATTGTTATAGTGAATATTGGTTTTAAGTTTTAACCAACATTTTCAGTTATACATAAGTGGTTTTGACCAAAGTTCTTAGTGAAATTAGTTTTGCCTGATTTAAAGTTAAGGCTTTTTTTATAGAATTAGGGTGACAAACAAGCACACAGTCCACCTGACGGTAAGTGGTTGCTGTGGCCCATAGACGTCTACATCTATCCTCGGTTACAGATCAAAATGTAGATGGATTGTCACCCTTGAGGACTAAGATGGAATGCCTCGTTTCCAGTAAAAAGGGTCTCCGGTTCTCTACACTCACCATACGAAACACAGCAGCGTTAAGCTGCTACTTTACGCTGGTATTCTGTGAGAGCGTGGTCTTTCCCCGGTCGAGCCGACCCATTCATGCTACAACTATATAAATATAGCTACAACATGCCTCTACCACGTATGAAAGACTGTTGGTCAAAACTCGCAATATCGGTGATAGTAGGTTAAGGTGCGGCTGGGGTGACCCTTGGGCCACCCTAAAGCCGCGTACATTATAATGATAATTATATAAAATATAATATTGAAAGAATTGACTTTTTAATTTTAAAAATTAATAAATTATAAGTCGGAAGTAGTTTTTACTAACATTCTTGGTCAAAACCACTTTTAACCGATATAATTTGGTCAAAAGTACCATTGCCCAATACTTTTGCATTAACCCCGAGTGGTTTTGACCGGTTATGAGTTTTGACTGTAACGGATATACTACCTACTTATTTTAATTTCTACGAATTACTACTATGTAAGTTCATCAACGGAATTTGTAATGGAAAACAGATTGTAAACATAATGTCTTATTGTGCCAAAAGATAACAAGAATAACCTACCACTAAAGATTCTTTTTTAGGATATGAATAACTATTAAGAAATTCGTAAGTAATTTTAAGTCTTGATTGCGTATAGAGACTCTTGTTGTCCAGACTTTTAGACACACTGTAGTGTGTCAGGAAAGTTTGAAAAAGAAAACGACGCACAGGCAGTGTGTATACAGGGTTATTTTTCAAAGAGTAACCAGATTTTAAACCAAAGTTCAAATATATAAATAATGATGTACCGTTATTGCAGTTTTTGATAAAATACGAGTAAATAAGGCTTCTACTTTTATTTGAAATTATCCCCAATTGAATGTGATTTATGGGCAACAACGTTTTTGCCTACCGACCGTCCATTAAGAATGTGGTGCGTGCGCAGTAAAATCAGTTAAAATAGTGCATTACCACGCATTTTGAATTTAAAAAAAGAAAAAAAAAACGACAGATGTTTGAGATTTTTTTTAATTAATTTTTCTTCAACATTTGCCTATATTACTTATTCCGAACCTCTTCCGCAAATTTGGCCGGTTATTGCAAAATAATCCTGTATTTACAAGACCAATTTTGAGTGCTTAACCTCCCATAACTTAAAAACCATTATAGGCCTAAACAATTGTAATTTTGTACACAGAATCTCATATATTCTTGAATAAACCTAGTTCTCGAGTTTAAGGTGTGAAAGTGCCATTTTATTGCCCGCTCATCATAAAAATAAGTCACTTCGAGGTTACTAACACACAAACTATTTACATTATTAAGCGTAAAAACGAGCATAAACGCAAGAAAAAGTGTTGAAGCTCATGTATCAAAAAAGTTATAAACGAAAACATAAGTGTGAAAACGGGCCAAGTTCGGTACAAACGACGTTCGCGGTTAATTAGATATATAAGAGCAATAAAAGAGGGGATCTGAACGGGTGCCAAGCTCCATCGCAGTCACAGACTACGTTTATTTATATAGCAGTTGTTTATATCATAGAATCTGTAGGAATGTATCTTCCTGATAACAACACAACATATTATCCTATAAAAAAAATAATAACTGCGGTCGCCAACCTGACTAATAAGCGCGGTAACTATTGTAAATGTCCGTCCTATAGGCAAACTATTGGGGAGGCCTTTGTTTAGCAGTGGTCTTTTAATAGGCTCTAATGATTATTTTAAGGTCGTAATTATGATATATTATTTGCTTCTACATAATGTCTCCTAATTGTTTTCAAAAATCCTTTTTTTTTCTATTAGTTTTTATACGTTTAAGAAGAAAATTGGATTCCGTAAATGCGCAATTGAATCTATCCATCAACATCTCGCATCTGATCGTGTTTCGTCACTGAGTAATAAACTCTTTACTCACTGCGCTCAATAGTAGGTAACCTGTCACACCAACTACCTCTGTATTCACTGCCTCACTGCCATACCGTATTGATTGAGGTAGGTCGGTTACTGAACGTGAATTATTGCTGAATGTTTTGGACGTTCCGCCGCATTTAGATATTTAGTATTAGCTACATATTTTGTTACTTTTAGTGTTTAATTTCGTTCTTTTTAAACGAGTTTAAAAAAGGAGGAGGTTGAGTGTTCCATTGTATGTATTTTTTTAATGTATGTTCACCGATTTCTACGCCAATTATGGATCGATTTTCAAAATTCTTTTCTTTTTTTGCGATTTTCTAATATAAACTATATCAGCAGTACCATCTAAAATATTCATGACATTATTAATTCTTACATAATTATAGCTGGACAGACAAACGTTGTTCTGCCCTTTCCAACGTTTTTTTTGTCCTATCAAAATCCTTAAATTCGCAATAAAAATATTGCGGGCCACTTTTTCGGAAAAACTATCCTATCTTTTA